GAATCCAAGCCGATTGTGGCACATAAGACACCGAACCCCTCATTGCACTCCTCGAGCCTCCCGTTTGGTACATATCGCCCATTAGGGCTGAAAATAGGGACGACTTTCCCGATCCCACTCTTCCCACAATCGCAACCAACGATCCCTTCTTCACATTCAGTGTAATATCCTTTAGAATCGGCTCTTCTTCTAAACCCCACGAAAAGCAACTTTTTTTCAAACACACGGCATATCTCTCATCACTTGAATCCTCTCTTCTCTCATCTCTTTCCACACTTTCCTCCAATTCTTCACAACTTAAATATTTGCGAATTCGTCGAAACGAGACAATAGCCATGGTCAACTGAGTCAACACCATTGGGAGTCTTTATAATAAGATATTAAATTTAAGAATACTTTATACAAAGCGTTGATAATAATTAAATATAACATAACATACCTTCCCATCGGTGCCTTCAATGAGATATAAACAGATAGCGAAACAAAAGCCGTTTTTGCGGTGAATGGCTGACCAGATGTATAGATAAATATAGTGAATGTGATGCCGGCGATAATGAAGGGCACGACAATCCAGAGCACATCAATACACGACCAAAAATAGTTCTTCAGTTTCAAAGTATGCAACTCTTGGCGTCTGGTCTCTGAGATCCTATCGATGAACGGCTTCTCCCAACCAAACAGTTTCAGGAGTTTTATATTACTTAATACTTCACTGATTTGTTCCATACGTTTGTCTTTCAACTGCATCTGTTTGGTCTGCAATGTGTCGATACGTGTCATCACGAATGTGGTGAACGGACCCACGATTAGCATCACCGCCAACAGTGTCAGCGATGACGGACCCAATTGCTGCCACAGTATATACTCTCCGATACCGATAGCCAATGGTATTGACAGCATGTTTGTCATAAAACGGATAAAATCGCATATTTCCACCACATCCACACCCATTATGTTGTTTATATCACCTGTGAGTTCATTAAACATGGTTAACATTTAAATTACTTAGAAAACCTAATATTTGTATAATTATTACTCATTTACCGGTTGTATACACGCGACGGGAACCGACACTAAGTCTTAACATTTTCTGATAGAGAGCTGATATGAGCGCTGATGACGTCCTATAATAAGCCATATTTATGAACAAATTGGAGTGACATTCAAGCAGTTGGGAAATCAGATTAATAAGACTGTAGGCCACGGCATAACATAACCCGTGCCACAGATGCTCGGTGTCCGACACGAAGTCTATTAGTTTGGAGAGAATAAAGGGCTGACTTAAGTCGACGCACACGTGGATCAGCTCCATAAGCGACCCAAACAGATAGGGAGTCCACGCCGTCCACACGAGTAATGGGAATAAAGTGATCTCTGTTTTGGGTTTTAGTTTATTTGAGTTGTATTTCCTGTTCGCCGATTCAAACGCATTGAACGCGTGAAGGGATTTCATATAATCGCAGATCGGAAGCAAATATTGGGCCAAATCTGCCGTCGATTTGTAGCCCTGTTTTAGGATTGTTTTCATCCAAAAGATGAATATTTTGGAGAAGATATTGAAGTCATTCATTGGACACTTGGCCTCACATTCTGTTCCCAAGACCTCGAACTCGGAATATCTTGTGGTTAAACACGAGATAATAAATGCTATTATTGTGAGGAACAGCTCCAAGCAATTGAATACAGCTTCAAGAATAGGAATATTCTTGTCGTATGTAATGAAGAATTGATA